GGAGACACAGAATCCGAAACAGGCTCCAGGCTCTGAGCTGTCAGCCCAGAGCCCGACACGGGGCTCAAACTCACGGACCCGCGAGATCGTGACCTGGCTGAAGTCGGACGCTTAACCGACTGCGCCACCCAGGCGCCCCAGTACTCACGACTTTAAAAGAATATTTTATCCTTATATCAAATTATATCAATTATCATCAAAACATGTCCAGTATATGAGGCTTCTATTTAAGTGGATCGAAAACCAAAAATTTTATTATTTTAACAATATAGTAACAAATGTAGCTCACCATCAGGGAGGACAGCCATTAAAATGAATACAGCAGAACAATTAATTCAAATTTATTTCCAAAGAATAACTTAACAGAAATGATAGACAGTTTGAGTGAGATTTAAAATACAACAAGCCAAAAGATTAGAAAGCCTAAAAACTGCAACTCAAATACCATGAAAAGGCAGTAATAAGGCTTCCCAGATTCAACTACTAATGACTGACAAAAGTATTATATATTGCCAGTGTACAAAGAACTAAAAACAGGTTTCAATATGAAGTAAAAATGTGAGTATCAGTACCATTAGGCTAAAATCCAAAGTATTAACAAGGCTAATGATTGTAGCAAAAATATTGATAAAAGGATATCTGAAATAGTTAAGACACTGGAAGAGTTGAATCAACTTATTTCAAAATTTCTCCTTGGAGAAATGCTTCTTTCCACAGATGCTCATTATACATCCATTTATCTATTATAGTGTTTTTTTAAGAAATGTTATAATTTTATTTATTTTGAGAGAGAGAGAACATGAGGAGGGTTGGGGAGGGGCAGAGAGGGAGAAAGAGAATCCCAAGCTGATAGCGCAGAGCCAGGCGCGCTAGGGCTAAACCTCAGGAACCGTGAGATCATGACCAGAGCCGAAATCAAGAGTGGGACAATTAACCTACTGAAGCACCCAGGTGGCCCTATGTTTTTAGGAAGTAGGAGGAAAGATAAAAAAACAAAATGGAACCGGAAAGTAATTAATAGAAAATATTTTTGAAAGCGAATCTGGCACTGGAGTCTTAATTACTATGTCAAACTCCACCAGTCCTTGATTAAAAGTAAACTACATCATCTCACATGATGCTTAATGACAAAATTAGCCAAGATAAATGGTGATGTTAATAGCCATAATAAATAAATGTCACAAATTACTAATTACATTTAGCCAACAAAGTAGCGTTGTTAATAATGCTCCCCAAATACAACAGGTAGCATTTCTAATGAATAGTTGGGGTTTACATCACACCTCTCTTTATCATGAGTGAATTCATAACAAGCTTCATTTAAAATGAGTCACAGAACATGTGCCTTTCCTTTCCTGGTTTAAATGGTTAATCAATAATGACTCAGATACAAAATTACAAGGACTGTTAGGGCAATACCATTGTTTTAGGACAGGTTTTCTCAACCTTTTTTTTTTTTTTTCCTCTTTTCTTTCTTCCTTTTTCTGGTGGAGGCTCATTCATGCTAAAAGGGAAAAGAAAGGACTGGAGTCCAGTGAACAAAATAATAATGATTTTTAAAAATTGAGGGGTAGACAATAGCCAAATGAACGCACCTGGCAATTACAAAAGTACAGGAACAACTCACAAATATAAAACCTCACATAATTCTAAAAAGGTAGTTAGTGGGATAATAGCAATAATTAAGAACAGTTAACACATCTCAATATAGCACTGATGATACCCTGGCAGGAAAGCAACCTTCTTGAACATTATGGAAATTCCAACTGCCTGCATGTGTGCATATAAAGTAAGAGTCTGTAAAGTTGCCAGGAGTTGGTTGCACCACACAACTGAGTGGAGTACTAAATTAGAATCCTCAGTTATTTGTGGTAATGCAATAATCTTAGTCTATGAATACCAAATTTGGTAAGCCTTAATAACTCATTCAGCAGGTTACAACTAAGAAGCACTTAGTTGTCAGTAAAGATGAATGTATGAAATTGGCTCATTCATATGTCAGTATCAAAAAATGAGCCTTACATTTTTCCATGTGGAGGGCCCTCAAAACCCATGAATTTGCTTTAGAACAAGACTGACTTGGGGGCGCCTGGGTGACTCAGTCAGTTAAGCTTCCGACTTCGGCTTAGGTCACGACCTCAGAGTTTGTGGGTTCGAGCCTCATGTCTGGCTCTGTGCTGACAGCTCAGAGCCTGGAGCCTGCTTCAGATTCTGTGTCTCCCTCTCTCTCTCCCCCCCTCCCCAACTTGTGCTTGGTCTGTCAAAAATAAATGTTAAAAACATAAAAAAAACAAAGACAAAACTGATTTAAGGAACCCAATGTCTGACACCGACTTCAAAATAAACAATCTGGACCTAAAATACACACAAAGAAAACGTGTGATTAATATCTGATTTTATAAAAACACATGAAGACCAACCTCACTGATCTAATTTTGTGATAATTTACTTATATTTTAGACAGTATGGATTCCTGAGTTTACAATAAATTCATTCCTTTAATCACTTCAGCGATGTTACTGTTTTTGATTCATAAAAACCTTACTACATTATTGCAAAAGCAACATTTGAATTATCTTTGTTCATCTTTAGATATACTAATTTACAAATCAAGGTTATATCAATAATTTCTATAGTAAAGGCAGTCACACTACAGTATCCCAAACTTTTTACTGATTTTAGGAATAATTTCAGCTATGACCGTAACAAGCCTGTCTAACGATTTGTATTTCACTTAGGAGCAAGAACAAAAGTGTGTCGTGTACTATACTGTGTGAGGGTCAATAAACACAATGGCAGAGTTGGGATGTGACAGAATTAAGAGGAAAAGGACTGCGGAGAAGATGAGATAAAGCCATTTTTACTAATGAGAGGGCCATTTTTACAAATGAAAGCATTGTGTCCATTTGTAAATGGCACGATGTGGGTGAAGTGAAGTGGGGTTGGTAAAGGATTAGGAGAAATAAGGGAACTTGGAGAGATTCAAAAGGCCGCTGAAAGACCCTGGCATCTTCCAATGGGTACAATTAGAATGGTGGTTGGAACAATTTTGTCCTTAATTTTAGTAATTTCTGACTTACTTTTAACAGCTAATGTGAAGGACAGAAATTACTGCAAAATAACTGAAACATTTAGTATACCTGGTGCTAGAGCACCCTCTATCACATGATCATATACTGAACATATATATTAGTCGCTTTAATGGAATATTCATTTACATCTAACTTTCCCGGTTCTAAGGCTTAATTTATTACTTTCCAGCAAAGGGGTCAAAGGCCTACACATCTCTCCAGTTCTAATATCATCATTATCTCTTATCTCTCCTGCAATAGCAAAGAGCATTAATGACAAAGCAGTCCTGAACTCCAAATTATTCCAGGTGTGGTCCTTGTACCAACAGCTTAAATCTCACCGGAGAACTTATCAAGCCTATGATTATCCAGCTCTGGCCCTACCTGTTCCCAGTTAGAAACTCAGAAGTTACAACCAATGTTTTAATAAGCCTTCCAGGGACTTCTGATGCATGCCCAAGTTTAAGAACCACGGCTATAGACGGAAACAGAGGAGCAGCCAAGTTAGCAGGTGCTAATATACGAATTCTAAAGGAAACTTATTTCACTTTCATTATATAGTTTGATACTCCGTTAAAACACCATTCCAGTAAACACTGAAAACAATCTCATGCTAGCTACCTAATATCGCCAGGCCTACACGCTTCCAGGGAAATCTAGGTTTTCAAGTAAGAATTCATTATCAGGGACGACTTTACCACCATTTTGCTGACTTTAGGGAAATTATTTTTCCTCTCTGGTTATCAAAAAGTAGTACGCCATGCAAACAAATCTATACGTAGCCTGAGTGTTTCTGAAACTAAGTTCCCAAAATTTCCTTATCCTGTTTTGTTTTTAATTTTAAAGTTTTATTTAAATTCTAGTTAGTTAACATACAGTGGAATATTAGCTTCAGGAGAAGTGGGTGAATCTAGCCTATTTTTTTTTTTAAGTTTATTTTTGAGACAGAGACAGAGCATGAATGGGGGAAGGGCAGAGAGAGAGGGAGACACAGAATCGGAAGCAGGCTCCAGGCTCGGAGCCATCAGCCCAGAGCCTGATGCGGGGCTTGAACTCACCAACCGTGAGATGTGACCCGAGCTGAAGTCGGACGCTCAACCGACTGAGCCACCCAGGTGCCCCGAATCTAGCCTATTTTTAATAAAAATTACCCACTAACTTCCACACTTCTGGACGGGCTCCAAGCACACACACTACACGCTTTTACAACACTGCCTTAATACGTGAAAGGAAACAAAAGCTTTTACATCAGAGGCCAACGGAAGCCACAACGCCTGAGCCATCTTCCCACCAAGTGTGAAATGGAGGACCCCATTCCCGACACACTGAGAAATTCACGCTGCTCAGAAACAAGGCATGTGGAAGCGTAAAAAGAAAAACGCTTTTTCTGGGCTTAAAACTAGAGAAAGAAAGCTGTTGGCTCTCCATCTTGTAAATACACAGACACTCCTACGAGCGGCAGCCGCTTCAAAGTCCTGCGAAGTCCCTCCTGCGCGGGAACTCCGCAGGGCGGAGACTCGGGCCCCTCCCTTCCGGGGGACGGGAGAGAGAAACACTGGGGTCGCGATTTCTCTGGAAGGTTCGGAGAGAAAGGTGCGCGCTCCCCCTCCGCAGGCGGTGGGAGACAAGGCACCAGATGGCGCTGCCGCACCGAGAGCCGGAGTCGGGGTGGCTAGGGGGACGGGAAGACGCGTCACCGGATCCTTTTCTTCGTGTCTGTCGCCGGAAATGCGCGCTGGCGCCAGCTTCTGGTCCCGGATATTAAGACTTCTGGAGAGTTCCCGCGTGAGGGCGGGGCTAGAACCGGAACCGAACGGCGACCGTCGGGCCGCGGGGCGGAAGCCCGGGGCGGTGCCAGCGGGGGCGGCCTTGTGGTGCGCGCGCCTCTCTAGGCGGGTGCGCGAGGCGGAGAGCGCGGAGGGGCGGGGTCTCGCCGTGTGCATGCGCACTTTGGGGACGTAGTCGTCACTGGCGTGAATGTCTTTATCTTAGCACGTTTGCGGCCCGGCGAGAGGCGGAAGTGGTGACGTAGTAGGGTTTTTTTTTTTTTTTTCCTCTTCCCCTCCCGCCTACAGGGTTTGGGTTTCTAGCTGTGAGTCAGGTTTCTGGAACTCTCTGTGGAAAGTTAATGGTGTATGAGGTAAAAACTCGAGCTGTGTTTTCCTCTGGACTCTAAAGTGAGCTAGATGTTTGCTGGGCGCGGTCCCAGTGCTGGTATAGACCCAGCTTTTCCCTCTAAATCAGACTTTTCCTCTAAATGTCTGATCCGGCGTGATCCACCCACTGTTTCTTTAAGCATCAATCATGAGGCGGTCCCAAGGAAAGGAACGCAGGCAAATAGACTATTACTGCGGAACCCAAAACAGTTACTTAAGGAAGAGTGCTTTTGCTTTTTAACAGTACTAAGCAAGAATTGAAGTCCATCCGGCTTTATTTTTCTGTTTTTGTTAGTGTAAACAATTTAATTATTGTGCATCTTGTGGTGTAGTCTTAGTGTTTATCATACTTCATTAACTAAAGTAAGGCTGCTTGTACAAATCGTTACAAAGGAAAATTCTGCCCTTTTTTTCATTTTTGCAAAGTAGAGGTAAACCGCTTTCACGGATGAACCATAGTAACTAGTGAAGAGTGTACTAGTTTCATTTTGTTTTTAGATGCAGCATGGAAACAATGAAGTACGTTGCAAAAATAAATGTGTCCATCCTGTTTTAATTTTAGATTGGAGAAGTGTCAGCTGCAAAGTGACAAATTTATTCAGTTTTAGTAAACTTTTATCTACGTTTTTCAGAGCTCTTTTTGTGGCCTACATAAGACGGAGTACTTGTGAAAGCCAGAGCAAAAGGAATAGAGACTTAAGTGGATATACGGGGAGAAACAGGTGGACCGAGGAATACTAGAAAGTTAGATTGTCTCTAGTAGCCATATGAGGACACTTACTGTTTTTCGATAAACCCTCTTGGGGGGGTCTTGGTAGTAGGTGTAAAGAAAGCTGAGGGTTGAGGAGAGCCATGACACGTTTTTATGAAAAACCAAGAAAAGAAATGTGGGCAATATTGCAGTAGCACCAGAAGGACCAGAAATAGGACAGGCAGGAACCAAGAAGTCCAGGAAAATTAAAAACAAACATAGTGGAAGATATTAGAAAACATTGAAGGGGAAAGAGCAAAGATGTGATGGATGTGGAAAGAGACTGATTTAGACAGTGAGGGAAAATCATTTTTAGACCTCAACCTGAATGTGTAGAGTAAGGAATAAATTCTTATTGTTAGATGTTTCAGCTTTGGGTAGTTGAAACATGTAGTTGCAAGAGTGCTTCATTTTGCCGCCATTAGTAATTTACACTAACCTAGTTCTTCCTAGTTAAAAAAAAAAAAATCAATTTAATTTATTTATAGTCACAAATAGTGACATTTACATCACTTGTCTGCAAATACCTCACTCAACTCTTGTCCCTCACTACGACTTGCCTGCAAAACCCTGCTCATGTAGGAACTCATGCATTTATGTTTTATGTGCTTACACTCAACGGCATAACAATCGGATGGACTAACAGTGATCTCACACCTAAATAGGCTCTCCACTGTGTCTAGTCCTCCAGCTCCTTTTCTCTCGTTACCTTGCTTTCTTCTGGAAACCAGATACTCCATTCTTCCTCCTCCTTTCTCAAGTTACCATCTGCCTCCTCAACCAATGACTTTGACTCATACTTGCTTAAAAACTAAAATTGTGAGTCTAAGCTAAGAATTCTGGCCTCCTAGCATCTACTCTACCTGCACGTGTACTCTTTAAACATCTTCCGTCTCATTTAAAAGGATTTAATCTCATTTAATCTCAATCTCATTTAATCTCATTTAAAAGGTCTCTCTCAAATGCCAACACCTGATGCTGTTAACCTTTACTTTTAGCCATTTGAGTGGGTATAGGTGTTAATTTAATTTTTGTGAAGTGTGTTTAAAACTTTTGCCCATTTTTAAAATGGAGTATTATAATTGAGTTGTAAGAGTTGTTTATATATTATGTTTGCTGTTTTCTTTATTGAATTATGAAAGACATACAAAGAGCTGTACGTATTCAGTGTGTACAATTTGATCAGTTTGGAGAGAAGCATACATCCACAAAACTATCACCACAGTGTCTATTGTAAATACATTGATCACCTGCCAAAGTTTCCTCCCACGCATTTTATTTATTATTTTGTGATAAAATCACTTCACATAAGATCTACCCTCTTAGCAAATCTTTATGTATATTATACATTATTGTTAACTGTTAGCTCTGTGCTGTACAGTAAATCTCTAGAACTTACTCATCTTGTATAACCAACATTGTAGCCTCTAATACCTCTCCATTTCCCCTTCCGCTTATACACATTTGTTGCCAAAGTGTGTGTTGTGAATATTTTTCTACCAGTTTGTGGCCTATCTTCTCATTTTCTTAATAATGTATTTTGAAGAGCAGTGTTTGTGAGTTGTATTTTTCTAAGAATTTGTAGATATTATCCAAATATTAAAGTTCATTAGCATAAAGTTGTAAATAAAATCCTATTATATTTTTAATATTCACAATTAACACATTTAAGCCTATTACCTGTCGAAGGTTAATTCGTCTGTATGGTATAACAGTAGGAGTTGATATTTATATTTTTCAAAATGAAAATCCAGTTATTCCAGCAGCATTCATTGAAAGGATTATCCTTTCCCCCATTGAATTACTTTGGCATCTTTGTCTGATTTTCTGAATATCTACTTAGTTCCATTGAAAAGTATTTGTCCTTATGCCAACTTATTCAACATCCTTTTTTCTCAAAATTGTTTTGATCATTCTGAGTCCTTTGCATTTTAACATAAATTTTAGAATTGGTGTTTCTGTTTCTAAAAAAACCTGGTGGGATTTTGATTGGGATTCTGTTGAATCTGTTGATCAGCTTGGGGAGAATTGACATCTTAACAATATTCAGTTTTCCAATCTACAATCATGGCATATCTTTCTATTTATCTTGGTCTTTAATTTCTCTATGTAATTTTCAGCATACAAGTCTTGCACATATATTGTTAAATTTTCTCCCATTTCTTGTTTTATATTTATTATAAATGTATTGTTTGAATTTAGATTTTCAGTTTTAAGTCATTATACTTTTTAGTTCTAGAATTTTCGTTTGATTCTCTATTTTTCGTGTTTATTTATTTATTTTGAGCATGAGAGAGAGAGAGAGAGGAGAGAATTCCAAGCCTGCTTTTTATTGTTATTTTGGAATTATCTCCTCTTGAATCCAGGAACTGTGAGATCATGACCTGAGCTGAAATTAAGAGTCAGATGCTTAACCAACTGAGCCACCCAGAAGCCCCTAAATTTTTACTTGATTCTTAAAGATTCTACTTTTTAGGTGAAATCTTGAAGTCTGTGCCTCATAACTCCAATATTTAAATCATCTGTGGATATTGTTTCTAGTGACTTTTTCTTATTCCTGTTTCTTCATATGTCCAGAAATTCTTAATGGAATGCTGTCTTTGTTTATGAAAAAATTAGACTCTAAACAATGGTTTTACTTCCGTAAGGGATTTTACTTTTGTTTCTGTTAAAAAGGTAGGCCAAGGGTAGAGTACCTTAATCTGTATGGTTTTCAGTCTGTTAGATCTGGTCTATTTCAGGTCCCTTCTTACTCCTAGGATGGCCCTTTTCTGTGTCCCAACCAAAATCCAAAGGTTTTTTTTTTTAAGTTTTTATTTTTGAGAGAGAGGGACAGAGCGAGAGTGGGGGAGGAAGAGAGAGAGAGGCAGACACAGAATCCGAGGCAGGCTCCAGGCTCTGAGCTGTCAGCACAGAGCCCTAGGTGGGGCTCAAATTAGGAACTGTGAGATCATGACCTGAGCCGAAGTTGGATACTTAACTGACTGGAACCCCCAAGCCTGAGGTATTTTTAAAGGCCGTTCCTCATTGGTTGTCCTTGAACTCCAATTTTTATTTTCTCAGAAGCACGGGATTCCTGAAAGCTAGTCTTGGCTTCTCTACTTCTTAACTACCACTTTCTAAGTGACTTCCCAGCTTCAGGAACAGCTTCTAAATTGGCAAATAGGTAAAAGGGAAGAACAGTTGAATATGGACAGACTTCTCCACACCTTCTCCTGTCCTCTTTAAGAAACCATCAAAAAGATCCCTTTTGTATTTTTACACAGCTTTTTGAGTTATTCACAGTTGAGAGGATGGGTCTGATTAAAAAGAAGGAGAAGAAAAGTGAAGAAAAGAAGTCCATCATTGGCAGAAGTGGAAGTCCCTTTTAATTTGAGAGTCTCAGTGATGCTAATAAAGAGTATTCTCTTTCTTTATCAGTCACTGTTTCTTGTCCCCCAATACCAGAAACAATCCAGGGGACACACCAGTGGCTTTCTGTCTTGCTTCTGGATGGGTCTCTAGGGCCTCCTGGAAGTGATACCCCCTTGCCACAGATGGGTTCCTGGAAACTACCCTATTCTTTAGAGTTTGCCTACCTATGTCTTCTGTCCTTTGCTCCTCCTGCGGGGGGCCCAGGTCATTCTGTTTTCACACAAACCAAACACTACTGTGCTGTAGCTGTAAATTCACTCTGTTGCTTTCGGTATTCTTATAATACAAGCATATATTGCAGTCAGGCAAGAAGAAATACATCCCTTTATTTTTATAGATAGCAATAAAGGAATATATGCTCCCCAGACAGCAAATGGATTTAATTTCTTATTGTAATTTCAAGCAATAATTCTACACAACTTTGTCCAACAGCTCATAGGTGTGCTCATAGGTATGAGTGCATAGGTATGAGCAGGACATTGTCCCAGACTCCCCACTTCTTGCAAGGAGGAATTGAGTAAGTTATTTAAGTTTTCTAAGCCTCAGTTTCTCTAATTTGAAAAACAAGATGTCTACTTTCCAGGGTGATTGTTGGGTTCAAAAAAAAAAAAAAAAGATACTATTTGCAAAGTGTCTGATACATGATAGGTTCTATTTTTATGTATAAAATTATTTCTATAGATTTCAGGGAGGAACTGGTCAGCCATAACTTGTCCACATGGCAGCAGTATTTCAGAGCCCCATAATATTTTAAGATTTCTGTTAATCACGTGATCGACCTTTTATTAAATACTGAACACTACACTAATACACTAAGATGCAGAAACTATGAAACAACTTGCCTCACAGATATGTAGAAATAGCTTGTCCATTTTATTAGAAGCCTTGGTCAGAACTGTTCCGAAACAGTCTCATCACCCTTAGGGTTCAAGTATAAGACTTTGTGATTTTGTTCTCTTGCTGCTATTTAATGAATCCTGAAATAGTTTTTGTTACCTAAAATAAAATTTGATAGAGTTTAACTTAGAATAAAATTTAATATAAAGCAGCTCTAATATGGGTCATTTCCAAGGGAATTTTATTACTAACAAACCAATAGAATATTATAGTGAGGCGGTTTCACTTAGAAAAGTGTATGACACAATGGAAAGGGAGCTTGGCTTTAGCATATTAATAATTAGCTTGACTCATCCAGAGGCTGGAGGAATAGGCTGTTATCAAAAGTCTTGGGAAGTTCTGTTTGGTGTGCTGGCAGAGAGCTTTCTTCTTTCTTTAGAGAAGAAAACCAGTTTATTTTACAGTAGAATGTTTGTAAAAAACTATCTGCTGACTTTTCTCTTTTAACCTTGTTCTTCAGATTATTCTAGCCTTGACACAGCTGTAAACCCCTTGAATACAAACACTTTGCCCAGGTTTTATCATGTCAACTCTCATACCCATTTCTAAGGTCTACCTACTGAATTTCTGGTTTATCAAGGGGGCATAATAGTTATGCAATAAATATGGACTGGGTAATAACATAAGATTCTCAGATCCAATAGATTCTCCTGTCATAAGAAAATACCACTCAAAATAAAATATTCTATTTTCTGATTTTGATTTCCTTTATTATATGGTGGTTTGTTTTTATTCTACTAATCTATAAATAAATGTAGCTTGGAACAGATAAAATAAAAAAGCATTCTTACATATGGACTATAGAATTACTCAAATTATGTTCCACTGATTAAATTTCCCAATTTCCTTGCTTTAGAAATACATGTGCATAGAAGTAATGGCAATACAATTTAGTACTCTAATTCATCATTTGTCTTGCCTCACCAGTTTTTTTCCACATTTTTGTTCCCAGTTCTTTAACTGTATTAATCGGGTTTCACATTTAATTGTATCTATTCTGTAATTGGGTAAACTAGAATTATTTGTAATTCTTTTGGAACAGTCACATATTAAATTTATTTATATGCACACACAGAAAATTAAATGTCAAGTCTAGAGTGGCTTTCCCATAACCCTGCCCTATTAATGTCTTAAAAATCACCAAATGCTCTTATTCCAGATCATGATGAGGTCAGGCTGGAGTGTTAAATCTGACCCCTATGTGTTCTATAAGGGATTGCTCAGTCCTATTACAATCTAGTAGTTTAAGTATAGATTTTCTGACAGTCATCTTGCCTTTTATAATGTGCTTAGATGGAACAGTAAAACAAATGTGCCTTTTACTGCTCTGAATGGGATTATTGTAGAGCTATAAGAAGAAGCCATAAACAAGGGTGCAGCATTTCCTTTATTCCCAAAACACAAATAGTCACATTGAGGACTGGAAAATATTTACTTCAGCTTTCGTAATAAGAGAAAGAATATAAACTTTCTATGTCCTAAATAAAGTTGATATTAGAACCTAACAACTGATATAGTCTAAGAAGTACCTCTCTACCCTGCCTTCCTTTGGAGCAGCCCTTTGTCATATCCCTTTAATTCATGTAATTGAATTATTTTTAAAATTAAAACAGTAAATTGATAATTGATAATCTCCCAATTATCTGCTTCTTGAAGTTTTATTTTTAAATTACTAAAAATCAATTATATCCTTAGTTGATTGCCTTTGGTTTTCTTTGGTAGAACTTAAAATACAAAACGTGTTTTACTTAAGTGTATTAATTTGAAATTGTTATAGTTCAAATATAATTCCATGTAACTCTTCCTCAACTGCTTTTAAATCATAAATAATCATTATCATGATTAAATATTTAGTTATCTATGCTAAATTGCTTTTAAGTCATCAATATGAATGTTCACATGGTGCTAAAATTTCCAGTTAGTGCATTTTTTACTTTGGTTTTTATTTTTGGTTAGTCATATTCAGATTTATTTGATAATAATGACCCATTTCACTTCTTGTATTTTATCCAGAAATTGAAAAAGTTATTAGATTAAAAAAGAATGATGTCTTCTTTCGTCAAAAAAACAAAGCATTTTAATTTTCCCTACTATCTGTTTTGGGGGGTACTGTTTCATTTGTAATGAATAGTTTGGATAGTAGATGATCATAGTTTACAGATTAATGAAAGAAAATTAAGTTTTTATAAAGTAATATTGAAACAGACACAATCCCTACCCTCGTGGTATTTACAGTAGGCACTTAGTAATTAGATTCAGGGGGTAAATATCTCCAAAGACCATTGAAATGTTCTATAGCCATTTTTAATAGTGTTTCAACAGTGGGTTGTATGTATAAAAGAAATATATTAGAAAAGGAAATGTTCTTTTCTGCTTACATAACAGCATACATGATCCCAAAATTGAGGCTGAAAAAAATGCATGAAAAAAAAAAATCAAACAATATGATTTAAAAATTTTTTTTTTTTTTTTTTTTTTTTAATTTTAAGAGCCCATGTGAGTGGGGGAAGGGGGCGGGGGGGCGGGGCCGGGGGGGAAGCTTAAGCAGGCTCCATGCTCAGTGAGGAACCCAAAATGACCTGAGCCAAAATCAAGAGTCAGATACTCAACTGACTGAGCCACCCAGACACCCCAGATTTCAAAAATCTTTAAAACAAAGATTACATGATTAAATGATTAAGAACAAGAGACTTTTTTAAAAATGTTGAATTCAAAAGTCTATCTTTGGAATTATATTTAAATCCAAGTAAAATATCTTTCTCCACTGTCTTCAATTATTCTCCTTGTTTGGTTCACAACACTTACACAGCTTAGAGGCAACTTTACACACAATAGCACATCATCCAGTGAAGACATTTGGGTATCATTGAGCTTGAGTATCTGATACTCCCAAATAATATAATTTTTAAAGGCCTCATCTTTTATGGTAGGAGACTCCAAGATGTAAAATAAAGAGACATTGTATTGATAATGAGAACTCTGAGACTAGAAAAAGTGAAAAGCTGACTAGGTTAACAAAAGGTACTATTTCAGGGTTGCTGATTGGCTTTTCTTGACAGCCCCAAAGCATTCCTATTTTAATGTTTTAACTCCACTTACCTCTACTTATTGACCAGTAGATAATTATTGACAAATTCTAAGTACAAAGCTCTTTCCAATTTTCTGATGAATATAAAGAAAGTATAAAATATGTCCTTCCTTTTTAGGAACTTTGAGAATAATTGGTACTAATCGAATGGAAAATACCTTGTAATCAGACTGTGATAGTAAAGAAAGGCACTGATAATGACAGCCACCATTTTGTTAAGGGCCTAATGTGTGTAGAGCTTTCCTCCAGGGTGGAACAACGTTGAAAAGATTGGGGAAAAATATCCAGGTTTACATGGCCAGTAGTGTAACAATCTGGAATCGGCATTCTTAAGGCTTTACTATTTAAAGCAGGCTCCTTAAATTTCTCTGCCTGGAATCTCCAGCAAGAGGCTTTTTCCTGACTGGTTACTTTAGCCTTCAACCAACACTTAGCTGCAGGCATTTGATGAGTTCACCTCATCCAGATTTTTTCCTTTGGGTTCTCAAAAAAAGTGATTCTTTCCCTTAAGTATATCTCTTGGGCAAAGCAGTCCTTTTTAAAGTCTTTTTGGCTGGATTCTTCATCTGGAAGGTGCACACAATTTTGGTCCACACAAAACACTCGTCCTTCCTTGGCTAAGCTGTACATAGAAGTACAGTGAGTTGCTGCCTTAAGTGAACATGGACACTGTTACACTTTGCATTCTTCTTATCTGAGTTAGACGCCAGATATGAATCAGACTAATTCATAATTCCGTGAGATACAAGGAAACAATTGCTCAAAAGTACAACTTTTTTGATAAACCCAAGTATCATAAATTTCTCTCTTACGTTTTCATGACAAGAATTGTGTACACACATCACACTATACACAAAACTCAGTTTCAGGTGTATTATGATCTTAAGAGTGAAAGTCAAAGCTTGAAAACTTTTGGAATGTTTTTATGACTTCAAAATAGAATTTCTTAAAAGATACTAAAAAAGAAAGCCACAAAAGAAGATGAAAATTAAATGAAGGGATTAGAAGAAATGCTAAAAACTTTTTTCAAAAAAACTTTTCTGAAATAAAAAGGATTAAAGTTACATGTTGAAAGAACTCATCATGCACCTAAGAATATCAACCCAGAATGACTAACACAAAGATATTCTAGTACAATTATTAGGTTTAGGAGAAAAACAAAGTATTATTTGACTTTGGGGGTGGGGGAACACACAATTTATAGGATATTATAAGTAGATATACGTTAGACTTTTCAAGAGCAACATTTTATGTTCAAAGACAATAAGATTCTCTCATTTCTTTCCTTTAGATTCTCAGGTAAAGAAGATGCCAGCCAAGCATTTTGTATCCAGTGAAACTGACTTTGAAGTGAAAAAAGCCAGGGAATCTTCAGCTTTTTCTGAAAGATCTGTCAGAGTTTGAGCTTCAGATAGCCTAATGACCAGAGGGACATCGACAGAAGGACTGGTGAGCATTAAGTATGTAGTTCTTAGTAGGACTAAGACTAAATGAAGGCTAAGAGAATCAGAGTATAGTATATAATGCTAAAAATGTCAGAAGGGAGGGAGAACTGGGAACAGCATATGCAAGAAAAAAATTTTTTAAGTGCTTTTAGTATTCATGTAGTGGTAGTATTAATATTGTTATTTTGAGACTATTCTGTGTATTATATGAGCTAAAAACAAATGAGTTATTATGGGATATTCTAATTCTGTGTCCTTGGGAACCAATATTCTCATGTAGAAGGAAGGATAAACAAATATAATAGCTTAGAGATTAAATACAACTTTTGTAAATCCTAAATTTGAATTGTAACTATCAGTATGAACTCCTGAAGCACCTCTCTGTCTCCCTGTTGAAAACAACTAGAAATGAATGATCAAGACGGTAGCAATAATTATCCCATTGTGTGGAATGTGTTCTTGGAATACAATTTCTCATTAAAAGAAATCAGTTTCTTTTTTTTTTTTTTTAAGTTTATTTACTTATTTTGAGAGAGAGAGAGAAAGAGCACAAACAGGGGAGGGGTAGAGAGAGAGGAAGAGAGAGAATCCCCAGGAGGCTCCACACTGTCACTACAGAGCCCGATGCGGAGCCTGATCTCAAAAACTGTGAGATCATGACCCAAGCCGAAATCAAGAGTTGGATACCTGACTGACTGAGCCACCCAGGTGCCATGAAATCAGAGCTTTTTGAAGAAGTTTCTAATTCTAGATTTAGAGGACGAAATGTACAAGATGAACCTAGAATAGCTTGTCATTTCATGGCTAGGTAGCTACCAAATACTACTAAGTTCTCATGAACCAACTTGAAAAATTCCCTATTGGACAAAGGTAGAACACTGTGAACTTTAATCATGGGAATAATTGCTGGATTGAAAGTCATCAAATATATTTAAATCCATGTGTTCATAATGATATTTTTCTTAAAAAGAACTTATCATTTTTAGAAGATGATAGGGAACCAGTTCACTATCTTGAAAACTAATATGTAATGAAGTGAAAGACTCAAACATTTAGACAAAAGAACTGTAACACTGGGTAACCAAATAATAAATGAAGAAAACATTCCTCTATAAACATTCCAACTGGTAAATGAAAAAATAATTAAAATATAATTGTGTTGCTACCCTCAATGAATTCATAAATACAGCTAGTTAGCATTAATAGCTGCTAATATCATAAAAAAGATAATCAGATATTATATACTTCTTGATAGAAGCACTCAGCACTACCAAGAGTCATACCAAAGGGATGGAATCCAAATCTGATTCACATTCTGATTTTCAGAAAAACAAGATAGGAACATGTTGAAATTACTATTGAGCATGCAATTTGCAAATTCGGACTGTGGAAAACTACAGAGTGTACAAAAAACTTGGGTTTTTCAACAGAGAAATTTGACAGAAATAATTATAGATTAAGAAAGTTCAAAGATATCAAAAAATTTATAAAGGGGACTAAACTTTAGCATCTAGGGATACACATTTGACTGATAAAGCTATGAAAAATAACAAGGAAATAATTACTGTAGAAGTCAGGATAACAGTTCCTTTTGGGAATGAACAGAGTATGAAGTATATTGGGAGATTTTATTGGGGGAGGGGGCAGAGTTATGGCAAAGTTTTACTTCTTGCCCTGATGCTGGTTAAAAGCTTCCTCAAAGTTGAGTAATTCATTAAGGCATGCATCTGTTTGTGTGCTTTTCTGTTTCTCTATTTTACAATAAAGACATTGTTTTTAAAAAGCATTTCCAAAAAAAGAGAAGGAGCAGAGGCAAGGGAGTGTTGAACTCATAAGAGAAATCTTAAACTCCTTGGTATTTATTGTTTAGCTCTCTGTATTGTTTAACTTTCTCCGTTGTAAAATACTACAACAACAAAAAACCCACAGGGTTCTGATTACCTACAGAAAAAAGTCCCAACTCCTTAATATGCGGCTTCTTATCTGGGGACCCCCATTTCAGTTTCATACATCATCTGTTGCCATTATCCACCAGTTCCCATCAGAGGGAGTCAGATAAAACTCAATGTTCTTTAAATATGCTGTATTCTTTCTGTGCTTTCATGTCTTTGGGCTTCTCTTCCCCTGAAACAGTACATAGTACTCTTCCTTCAGAACTCAGTTTAAAGGTTATTTCCTCTATGAATTCTTCCTTTTCCCCAGGCAGAATTATTTGTTGTTTTGTCTGTGTTCCCACACTGTTGTGTATATACTTTGGTTTCAATCCTTGTAATATTATCTGTCTACATGGCTCCTTCTCCCTAGACTAGAGCTCTTCAGGAAAATACATTCATTTTGCTTGGATAGTGCTTGGCATATGAGTGAATGAATGAATGAATGGAATGGCTCCAAAGATCCTTTGCCTAAGGAAGCCACTGGGGACAGGGGAAGGATATGGATGCTACAATCAACTGTGTACAAGTGATAAATAAAGCCAAAAAAACTTCTGAAGCTTGCCCTATATGTCACTACATTAAGTAGAACTGTATGTCATCATGAATCGTCTATGTTCTCACATCTTATGTTTTGTTCTGTCACTCCTATATCCATCTTCTACAGATCCCATGGAGGGATTTGAAAGAGATATTCAGGTTCCTCAATCAGCATGGCACTAACATTTTCTTAGTGTGTACATGTTGGGTCTCTAAGGACTATTCTGTGGTACTTGATCCATCAGAAAGGGTGTAGTCATAACTCTCATAGAAGTTATAACACAATTAGAGCTCTGGCTTCCTGAAGCCCTAACAATATCTTGATAAAATGTGGGCTAAAAAACAAAATGGGAAGTAGTAGATAAAATCCTATTAGTAGGTCCTATTAATATCCCCATTTTAATCTTATGAGATGGCAGAGACATTGAGAACTCAAGTAACTTGCTCAGGTCACACAACGGTTAGCAGAGGAAGCATGACCTGAATTTGAAGAGTAGCCTCCTTTTGCTACACTCAGCGTAAGCACTGTAAATTTGCTACACTTTAGTGTAAGCGCTAAATAAGTAGTAGTTATCATTATTGTGATAGAGAAGAAAAATTTTGTGTCTAGCAGCAGGAATATGAAAAACTGGAAGGCCTCTCTCAGATGGATCTGGAATCAAGTATGTCTTTCTTAGTCTAATTTAGCAGGATAAGTAAGTTAGTCCCATTTATAGGAAGAATGGATCAAAAACATTGTCAAAAATGAATTCAATATAAACTATTTTAGCTCAGCTCAAGAAAATTTTCACATGTGCTTAAATTTCTTCTTTGTGTTTTTAATGTTCCCTGAAGGTTAATTACACAAGCTTCTCTTTTTGAGATACAGAACACATCTATCACTTGAAAAATAAATGGCAAAGGTGACTTTGAGTCTATGCATAGCTTTGACCTTTGGCTCACTTCATTTACATTTGGGATCAAAAACTGATGTTATATTATTTATGCCTATTGTTGCAGCTGGACACTAAATATTTTAAATGTTTGGAAATATGGATATTTCTTTATAAATGTGCTGTCCTCTAAAAAATTAAATGTAAAAATCTTCAATTTCCAAATTAGTTAATTGGTAAGATTCTTCTTTGCAAATGAGGAAATTAAAGAATGGCATGCTGTACTTTTAAATAATATATAAACATTGGAATATTATATATTATATTGTAGAAATGTCCTAGAATTTTTTAAAGAAAAAGATTATTTATCTGTCTCTTTCAATTTTTATTTCTTTTATTCTGAAAAGAGCAAAACGAGTAAAATAATTTTCTCTTTATCTCTCTAAGCTTGGACAGTCAACAAGCCACATCACTTCAATTACTGGTATTTTGCATAATTGCAAATATCTTAGACATTTTTTCTTAAGCTCTTTATGAAATTTTGGCACACATTAGGAAGATAATTTCTTTATTGGTTTCTTTCAGTTCTATGTCATGACTCAGTTGTATATAGGAGAAAATATTCAAGATTATTGTATCAGTGAAGTCTCATACTTTAGGGCCAATATGTACACATGGCAACCTTTGAGAATGACGATAAGGATAGCATTTTAAAATTTCTTTGTCCAGGAGAAAAACAAATGATGAGGCATTGTTTGAATAATGTATGAACTACAGAAAGTAATAAATAAAGATCTAGAAAGAAAACATATTTGGAAAATCAGGTTATTTCCAAAAGAGTTATCAAGGCTGAAGAAAAATTTTAATTTAGGTATTTGGTGGTAGTTATAAAAACATTAAATTAGGGACACCTGGGTGGCTCAGCCAGTTGAGCATCTGACTCTTGATTTTGGTTCAGGTCATGATCCCAAGGTTGTGAGATTGAGCCCTGTGTCAGGTTCTGCACTGAGCATGGAGCCTGCTTAAGATTCTCTTTCTCTCTCCCTTTGCCCCCTCCCTGCTCACACTCTCTTTTTCTCTAAAATAAAATAAAAATAAAAAAATAAAAATGAAAACATTAAATTAAACTGTTTAAAGTGCATATTTAACATAACCTAGTTGTATTATTGTAGAGGCTAAAATACAAAAGAAAAATTCCAATTTAAGAAAAATATTCCAATTTTTTGCTCCAAATAGGAATAAATCCTTATTAAATATTTCTCTGGCCTTGTCACTTTTTTCCAAAGAAGAAAACAGTTCTCTTTGGTGTGGCCAGTGGGGGTTTCCATTTGTAATGGTTCTAATAAAACACTCCAAATAGTTTTCATTATTTAAAATTCCTATCACTTGATTCTCAGAACACCAAGAGGCAGATCAAATATGATCATTATTTTCCCTATTTTTATAAGTTCATTATACTTTTATCCATTCATTTACTTGTCATCTACTAATATAGTAATAGCTATCATGAAGTCATCACATACTGTGTACCAGTATTTAAAGTGTTTTGCATATATAAACCCCCTACAGTACAGCATTATTATTTCTAGTTTTACAGAGAGGCAGCTGAGGTACAGAGAGGTGAAGTAATTTGTTTATAGTCACACAGCTAGTGAATGGCAGAGCCTAGCTTTGAAACCTGCACTCTAGCTGCAGAGTGGCATTTTAAATCACTCTTCTGGTCTTCTGGTATGGTAGCTATAAAAGTCAATTAAAACTTATGGTCTTATGGAAGATACAGGCAGAGTAAAACATCGGAACAATTACTTGTTCATTCAAACAAAGATTTACGGTGTGTTTACTCTGTTTCAGACAATGCTAGATGTTTGATGGTAAACCAGACATACCTCGTCTTTACCTTCATAGAGCTTACAGTTTAACTTTGAAGGTGCCCATTAAACAAACAACAATAATACTAAGAAACAAATGTTTTGATAGAGGAAGTATGGAAATCTATAGAAACATCTAGGAGTGATGCAAGGTTTCCCAGAGGCTCTAGTGATTAAGCTGAGACCTAACAAATGAATTTACCTGTCTGCCTTAGTGTTGAGTCTGTCTAACATAAATCTAGGCTCTTTCCACTAAATAACATAAATAAAATTAGGAACAAGAAGGCTATAATATCATATATAATATGATTTTTTTATTTTTTTATTTTTTTTAACATTTATTTATTTTTGAGACAAAGAGAGACAGAGCATGAGTAGGGGAGGGGCAGAGAGAGAGGGAGACACAGAATCCGAAACAGGCTCCAGGCTCTAAGCTCTCAGCCCAGAGCCCGATGCGGGGCTCGAACTCACGGACCGCGAGATCATGACCTGAGCCGAAGTCGGACGCCCAACCAACTGAGCCACCCAGGCGCCCCAGTATGACTTTAAAAGTACAAGAGTACACATGGGTATGCTAATAGATTTGAAAGACTTTGTAATGGACAATGTTATATTAAAGTATGTATCATCAGAACTCAGGAGTTACATACCAGAATAGACCAAAAGCCAATGGGATAAATTAAACACATTCTCAAAAAAAAAAAAAAAAAAAAAAAGTACCTACCCCTAAGAGCCAAATGGGTTTCCCTGTGAATTCTTTGAAATTTTCAAAGAATGGACAATTCTCATGCAGTATAAAATTTCTGAATCTCATTTGTAAAAATGCATAGATTCCATATTTATTTTACAAAACTAACATCTTCTTGATACAAAAACTTGACAGAGAACAAAAATGAATATGGATGCAAAAATACTAAAGCAAACAGTAGCTAACTGAACTAAATAAGATTAAAAAGAATTGCTTATCACAACCAAGCACAGTTGATGTCATGAATATAAGAATGGTTTAATAAGTGTAAATATTTTGGGATGCCTGGGTGGCTCAGTTGGTTGGGCGTCCGACTCCTGATCTTGGCTCACGTCATGATCTCATAGTTCATGGGATTGAGCCCTGCTGTCAGTTCAGAGCCTGCTTGGGATTCTCTCTCTCCCTCTCTCTCTGCCCCTCCACTACTCACACACATGTGCATGCATGCTCTCTGTCAAAATAAATAAACTTTAAAAACAATAATTGTAAATATCTTAGTATAGTGTGTTGATATGTCCAGTTACCTAAGGGAATTTGATAAATTCTGAGAGTCATTATGATAAATAGTCTTTAAAGACTAGAACGGTACTTTGATAATATAGTATAGGAATGCATGGTTGACTTCATAGAAGATTAGTATGATTTATAAATTAGAAGATTAAAGAAGAAAAATTTGATTATCTTAATAGATGGAGGAAATGCATTCAGTAAAATTCAACATTCTTTCATGTAGAAAGTTTTGATCACAAGAATGGAACTGCCTGATTAAAGCAAAAACAAAAACCATACAGTTAGTATCACACTTAAATGGAGAAGTATCAGAAGCATTCTCCTTAAAATCAGAAATAAGATCAGGATATCCTATCTTAGCACCTCTAATCAACACTGATTAGAGGTCCTAGACTAGTAATAAGGAAAATGAAAGAAAGCAAACTACAATGGAATGGAAAGGAAACAAAGTATCATTGGTCCCATATTTAAGAGTACAAAGACAACACCCCCAAATATATAAAATTAATAAAAGAGCTTACATATATTTATGGATACAACATCAATTAAGAAAAATCAATTGAATTTCTATATACCAATTACAGAACCTAGAAAATCCTTTTTCTTTTTACAAAAGGATGTTATTTATAACAGTGTCAAAAATATAAAGTGCCTTAGCACATATTCTAAGTGCTGTAAGTGGCCTTACCTCTGCCTGGGAGCTCGAAAAAGCTGCTGGGTTACTATGGTCAATTCCTTCCTGCAGATTCAGCCTCAATCCTTAATCTCTGTGGGTATCCATCATCTACAAGGCTTAGGGGAGCCCAAGCCTGTTAACCACCTGAACAAGGGCTATGATGGGATTTAGACAGAAGAGGCCCTTGTAGACTTGGGGCTGGACAAGCATACAAAGAGAAATATGAGGATGTAGAGAAAGCACTGAGAAGAATCAAGAGAGCTAAGTGTTCTCATTTGCCATGTGAGCCTGGTCAAGTAACTTATTCTCCTTACAAATTGTTTTATAAAATCAGAACAATAAGACCCCGCTCACAGAGTTGGTGGGAAGAAGAAAGTGAAGTAATATATGTGAAAGTATCATACATGGGATCTTGTATTTAATAGTCTGTCAGCAAATGTTAGTATTTTTCCTGAATAAGATATAGTTCCTAATTTCCTAAAGGAAAAGAAGACCGTCCCCACCTGCTGAGTGAAAACAGCAGCAACAACACTTAAGAGGCTTTCGTGCAGTGCACTGCAGCCTATTGAAATAGCTGCCAGCATCATCTCACTTTACAAATGAGCCCACAGTGAGTGTTGCTCTAGGCATCTGTCAAATTGTCTACACTAGTGGCAGAGATAGACATTAGTCGTAATCAGCAAAGTGTAGCACTCATTGGTCAACCCAATGGCTAACTCATTGTATTGTCAGCTCCCCCGGCTGCCTGTTCATTATAGTCCTATTTGTTGCTGTTTTTTTTTTTTTAATTTAATAATTCATACCTTTAAAACTGTGGACTTGAAGTAGTTTCTGCATGGCCTTTCCTCATGGGCAGAAGTGTGTACACACTCTTCTATATCCTGCAAACCCTTGTAGGACACATTTTTGAGTTAGTAAATTTTCATTGTGAAGAACACATCACGAATCGTTTTAAAAAGGTAAATATATAAAACACATAACAGTGCCTGTCAAACAGATATTAGCTACCATTATCATCACCATATCCCTATCATTCTCATCATCATAGTCAATTCTTTTCCCCACAGGGGAGTTGTTGCAAGCATCAAGAGAATTAATGATTCCACTTAGACTTGGCAGGTTCTTACGTACTCACATACCATTGGTCAAATATGCCAGGCACAAAGAAGTGTTCAATAAATGCCTGTGTTATTTTACAGGTGAATAAATTAAGATTTGAGCATATTAACTCCAAGGTTATATAGCTTGTATTTGGCAGTGCTACATTCATATATAATTCAATAAAGTTTGTTTATTCTAGATCTTTTATCCACCCCACCCCCAAACAACCTGATGATCAATGAGCAAAATTTTAGTTAAATGAAAAATTCACATTTCTAACCTTCATACTTCTGCAAAATTTGATACTTTTTCCAGAGGGAATAGACCAGGTTAAAACTTTGCACTAGAAGCTTCTAGGTAAATTATAATAAGGAACTTGGCCCTAGAGAGATGTGGAAGGCTTGCAAGGAATGGGAAGAAATAACGAAGATAAACTTAATTAGTCCAATTCAATGAGAATTTACCCAGTATTCTAGAAAAAGGCTTTTACTGTATCTGAAAAGTTTAGGATTCTCTTTATGCTAATATGTTTTTAGTAATTTTAGTTCTGTAGCTAACCCTCAGAAATATAAATTTACAGTTTGCTCCCTACTTTATAAAATACATAAACTGAGATCGTAAAGCCTAAAGGAATAATGTGGCTGTGTATGAGCCACATCATATTTCCATTTTCAAAACGCCTTTGGTGGGCCCTTGGGTAGCTCAGTCAGTTGAGCATCTGACTTCGGCTCAGGTCATGATCTCCAGGTTTGTGAGTTCAAGCCCCATACTGGGCTCACTGCTGTCAGTCTGTCAGTGCAGAGCCTTCTTTAGATCCTCTGTTCCCCTCTCTCTCTGCCCCTCCCCCACTTGTACTCTCCCCCCAAATAAATAAATATTTAAAAAAATAAAAAAATAAAACCTTTGGTTTTACATTTTAGAAAGTTTATAATATGCCAATATAGTACTATATTTTACCTTGGTAGATCAAAAGTAATTTCAGTTTATAAATTTACATTTACAGAAGGTTCTTAGGCTTAACTAGGCTGATCTCACTGATCCTAAGCATAAATGTCTTTGGAAAAATTATTAATATTTAGGAATATTCTCCTAGTTTATGTTAATTTTCAAAACTATTTTTTTTTAAATGGATTTCATTGACTAATTTAGATGAATTATTGCCTAGGAATAATTCTTTGTATGTGAAAAATAACCTGCTTAAATTTTTTTTCTGCAGAATTCTATAAACCTGAAGAGTAAGCTTTAAAAAAAATCGTCAGAGGAAAGGAATTTGTAGAAATAAAACTGGAAACATCGAGAATCTTGATGGTGTGCCAAACCAGATGTCAACTGGAGCTCGACCAAAACCTAAAGTAAGTAGCTTTATTACAGAATATTCTGGGTGGAGTGTCATGTCCCATTCATGCAATAAAGTCAGCACCACATTCGCACATTCTCTATTACTTTTTTGTTTTAAATTTAGCATTAAGGCTGACCTGTTTTTCATTATAACATGATTTGTAATAAACATATATATATAGTTAATATTTATAGAATTGGAAAAAAATGCAGTCAGTGATTTTGTTAAGGTAATATGGTTAGTTCATTGCAATCCGTAGAGCCATAGCAGAGGAGGATTATATGTACTTCAATTAATTTCTTCATTGTTAGTGAAAATTCTTGCTGCAGTTGAAAATATTCTTGAACTATTATTATAAAAGTCTTCCCTATTGGGATGGTCCATATCCTACCCTGGTTCCAGAAATGAGGTATCAAATTGGGGAACACATCTGTGAAACATCAGCCACAAACATTAACTACACTTTAAATAGTTGTCTTTGCGCTACAAAGCTAACTAATAATACCCAGGGATGTTTTGTTGTTGTTGTTGTACTTTTTGGTATATTTTAATGAGGAAAAATTGACCAGCCTTTCTCATAGATATTTTACAACTTTTATAACTTTTTCCCAAATCTCTATAATTTTTTCCACTTTTAAAATTGAATCTAAAAGTACATTTCATAAATCCTGACCATTTATGTTGGATATAGAGGGATGTCCATAATAACTTGCAAGATTTTGTAGAGTTGCATATGGTTCTCGATTTTACAATGCCTTGGCTGCTTTACAATGTTAAAAAAAAATAATGATTTTGCCAATAAATATGAAGGGCAAACATTATGTGTCTTCCTGACAGGAAATGGCAGAAACTTTCTAAATTACCTCAAGGGATAATATAAGAGATTGCTTATACAGGGATGGTCAGGGTTAAGGGAAGACAACTGTAAGCTGGTTGCCCAGCAGTCACAAACAAACTACAGCCTGACGGAGAAGAGGTGCAGAAGTAAAGACCTGTCTCTCACTCCCAACTTCTAACCTCCTCTGGGACCTCCTGCTGGCTGATCTCATCAGGAAATCCGAGAGAGGAGTACTCAATTTAGAAATTGTGCCCCACAGGCAAGATGGTAAAAAGCAGAGAACAGTTTTTAAAAGGTCAAATAAAAAGTATTTAGCATACATTATAATAACAATAGCATGGTTAGCTACCATTATTAAATATGTAATGTGTTCCAGGTGTGGTGCTAAGCTCTTCACACACATTGCCTATTTAATTCATACAATAGCTCTACAACATAGACGTTAATACCTCCATTTTTTAAGAAGAGATACCTGATCTTCACAACATCATAAAGTTAGTGGGATAGGTATTAATGTTATCCTGATTTTACAGATGAGAAAACCAAGACCTGAAGGTAAGTGACTTGCCCAGAAGGGCAAAATTAGTACTTCAGTGTGAGCCTTCATACTCTTTCTCACTTTGCCATACCAACATACATGGCTTTGGGAAAGTTTTATAATGCCTTTAAGAAAAAAGATGAATATTACTTAGTGAAAGAAGCCAATCTGAAAAGGCTACATACTGTATAATTCCAACTATATGACCTTCTGGAAAAGATGAAACTAGGGAGAAAGTAAAATGATCTGTGGTTGCCAGGGGTTAGTGGGGAGTGATGGATGAATAGGTAGAGCAGAGGATTTTTAGGGCAGTGAAAACTATGGTGTATGATACATGTCATTATACATTTGTCAGAATCCACAACATTTATACCACGAGTCAACCATAGGGCAAGCTAGGGATTTCAGGAGACAATGATGAATCAGTGTAGGTTCATCAATTGTAACAAATCTAGTACTTTGGTCAGGGATGTTGATAGTGGAGGAGGCTGCATACATGGGGGCAGGGACATATGGAAATCTGTACCCTCTGCTCATTTTTCCAATGCACCTAAAACAACTGCTCTAAAAAGTAAGGTTTATTTTCTAAGAAAGGAAAAGAAACGTGTAGTACAGCTTAATTATATTTACTATGATCCAAATTTTCTTTCTTTTTTGGTGAAGAATGAGAGATAGTGTAGACTTTAAAAAAATTTTTTTTAATGTTTATTTTTGAGAGAGACAGAGACAGAGCATGAACAGGGGAAGAGCAGAGAGATAGGAAGACACAGAATCAGAAGCAGACTCCGGGCTCCGAGCTGTCAGCACAGAGCCCGATGCGGGGCTCGAACCCACAAACCATGAGATCATGACCCGAGTCGAAGCCTGATGCCCAACTGATTGTGCCACCCAGGTGCCCCATAGATAGTGTAGACTTTTATATAAGGCTTTCTTCTCAGAAACTTCCTCAGCTCAAGAAGAAAATGCTTATTACAAATTAATTGATTTTTTTTTAAGATTAACAATGAAAGTTAAAAAGAGGAAAGCCAGTAGTTTTAGTGTGATGCTATATTCCATTGCCTATTGCCTCTTAAAGGAATGTAATTTATCAAAGAGGCATTTGGGACCTGTTTTAGCTGATTTTCTAGTTTTTTTCATTCTTGTTACTTTGTTTTTACAGTAAGCTCTTAACTATCCTGGGACAGGTAATTTATTTCCAAATTAGCTCATTCAGGATAGGGTAACTTTGTAAATTATTAGGTAAGAAGTATTTGGGAGTATTTTATTTTTTTGGCCGATTCTGAACAAGATTGTAATCTGAGTCCTCAGTCAATTGTTACTGACATGGAGTGGGGAGCGGAGGCATATATAATCTCAGATGTTAATACAAGAATATTTATATGCTCTGAAAATCTTTTTCTGTAATCTGTTTTCACTACCAATATATGCCATTGGGCATTCCTTCTAAGATGTTCACTAATAAATGGAGCATGCAAGCAGGGGCCAGCTTGGTAGAATAACTGCTTTTGCTGTTACATCTGTGAATCTTTAGGTAGATGGACAGTGTAATCTAGAAGTTTCCCTCTCTGTTCCCTATTCTAGGGAACACTTTCTAAAGAACCAGCTTCTGTTTCCTCTGTATATATCATGAAGTCAGAGACTTCATAGGAGAGAAAGTTTGCCAATGTCCAATTTCTTCAGAGATAGGAGACAAATCCTTCCACATAAATTTGTGGCAGCCTAATGTACATTTGTTCATCTGACATGTTATCTTTTTCTTATTTGCTCAGGCTAGCCCGCAAAACCGAATTTCAACCATAAAGTACTAGATGTATAAAATTCACTGCCCTGTGGAACATGCATGAGGTCCATGTGCTCATTTCTGAACATGGCCCTGGCTGCCAAATACTGAGGGCAAAACGTTTCCTAGTCAAGGCATGTTTCCCACAGGCCTATGCTATGCAGAGGGTAGAGGATAATTCTATATACTTTTAGAGGCCGACTGAAGTTGGGTATATGGGCTTCTACCTTGGCAGGATTATTCATGTCTGTTCCTCACAGGTCTCACTTGCCTAGGGGAAAAGTGAAGCGTAAAAGCTGTTGATGGTAGCTGCAAGTAAGACACAAGAACTGTTTAGGATTTACACTGGGCATACGTATTCTTACCAAAGAGCCAGATAGCTCAGTCCAAAGCCAGATCAGAGCTGCACAGATGGTATGCCTTGCACAAGGCCCACCTTTTCTAATTAGCACAAAGCTATCTTCTGATACTACACTATGAGTCCTTGAGATAGTGAATGCTAACCAAAGAGGATGGTTTTTTTCCTAATGTTTATAAAAACATCTTTTGGGCTAGCACAGGCTATTGCTTGGCTAAGGGGATGGTCTAGGCTAGGTTGACAGAAACAATAAAGAGTTCATGGGGCCAAGCCATAGCTTTGGACAGCCAGGTTGCCAAGGCTAAGAGAGGTGTTTAAGAGAAAGCCAAGCCCAAACAGCTACCATTTGAAAATGTGGGGTTATTCTGGCTCTCTGTTCTCAACTTCAGAGAGCAAGTTGGGTACATTTCTGAAGGCAGTGACTCATGAGCATCTTGATTTGTGTTTACTTCCTGGACACGTGGTGGGGGGGGGGGCAGGTAGAAGGGGTAAGACAGTGATGTGGGCATTATATTCTGGGAAGGGCAGAAATCAGGGGGTGTGGGCTGGCCAGCTCCATAGGATTTATTCTCTATCATCTGTAACTGCATCCCCTTCTTCCTTCTGAACTCAGACTCTTGTGCCTGCTTGGCTGTCTTGGCATGTCTAATGCACCTCAAACTCTGTCAGGTCTTGAACTTTACCATTTTCTCCTGTGTCCGTGAAAGGCACTTTTCAGTCAGCTGATCATTTGGGCCAGAGACCTGCAAGTCAGCCTAGTTTCATTCTTCTCTCTTAAACTCACAGTCACTGTCACCAAGTTCTCTCTAGTCTACACTTCTAATGATGTGTCAGTGCATCCCCTTGGAATCCCTAATGCCACTGCTCTGAGTCAGGTACTTGTCACCTGAAATGCAGCCTGTTAGCCTGGGCTTGATGTCAAATACCCCTGTTCATTATCTAAAATGCAAACAGAATGATCTTTTATAAAGTTAAATCTCATCATGTCTCTGTTCTATGGATGATCCCTTCAACGTCTTCACACTTTCTTTGGTAGAAAATCAAATTTCTGGGCATGTTAGACAAAGCTGCTCACGGTTTAGCCATGCCAACTTCTGCAGTCTCTCTTCTCACCTCCTCCACCTTTCACTAGTGTTCCGTGCATGTCGAACTGCTTTGGGATCCATCTCATACTCCTTGTGTTTGCATCAGTTGTTCCTTTAACCGTAATTCCCTTCCTGTCTTCTTCACGCCGATTAACGATACTAGCTTCTTAAGACTCAGTCTCCAGGGCCCTGTTCTTCTAGCACTTATTACATTAATAATGTCTATGTATGTTTTTGTTTTTCCCCCTTCATTGGACTTGAAGCAACTTAAAGTGCAGGCTGCCGCTTACCTCAAGAACTTAAGTGCTTAGCATAGTGACAAAAGGGCCGGCACTCATACAGTGTTTCACACTATAGTGTGTTCCAGTTATTCTTACTCGTAGGGTCTCCTTTCTGCTCAGGGGTAGTGGCGGG